CTTCAATCACCTGACCCCTCGTCCTCGCCTCCGAAATTGATGCCAATTGACTTTAACCGCCTGACTGTCTCCGCGACCTGTGGCTCTGGTTTTTGTTAGCGTCGTGTTGCATGTGAAAGCTCCAAAGAACATACATACCATTTCCACTGTGCTCGCTAGCTTCGACGACTTCAAAGACTGGCGAGTGAAGGCATGGCAGAACCGTAGCTGCCCTTTCATCTTCATTGTCTAGCCTGAGTGTCCTAGTTGATCATCAGCAACCCACAACCCTATTCTAGGAACTCGAATCGTACGCATTCATATCGATGATGTTGACTTTGATGCGGTAAGTGCCGGGCTGCGTGATTACAAGGCCGGGAAACATTGCATATGCGATGGTCGGTCGCTCGCCCTCCTGTTCCTCGCAGAGGGCATGTATGGAGTCGGCCCTACTCCCACACAAGAGATCTTCCCGCGGCGGAGCTAGGCTTTCCTGCATGTCCGGTGTGGTTAGAGATAGAAAAACCCATATCCCGCTTGTTTCGGGGAGTGTAAAGGCTTCTTCGTTGTCGCACTTGTCGTCCGATGTGGATGGTGGTCCCAAGAATGTCACCACGAGGGGTGTCTCCAGGGTGACACCCGCTGCGACGCGCGACGGTGGTGCAACAGCGAGTTCCATTGTGATATCTAGGGGGCAACCACGGTTACAACAATTCCAACACAGTCGACGAGGTAGTAGAAGATTCTTTGGTAATGTAGACTTTGAATCAGGGCTGAAGGTTTGTGAGATGGCATCAAAGGACCGTAATGGCAATAGTGTGAGGCTATTGTTGGTCCGCGATTGGGATTCTGCAAGTGTGATGGGTTCGATCACTGTTTATACAGAGGTAATGAAACCAGTCTTTGGGATGAGCAAGAGGGAACCAGCAGGAGCAGAGGAAAAATCTTCCTCTCGAGGTGTTGGTGACCTTTTCTATGCTCCAGGGTAAGGCTGTAGGCGTTGTGCATGTGCATGGACTGCTCCGGCGCATGATGGATGCTACATTTCGTGGTGTGCTCCAAAAGAGAAAGAGGCACCATCGGGTCCCTGATCCGACCTCTACAGGCGATCCACTAGAAGCCCAATGGAGCAATACGTCCACCATGTCCAGCTATCGCCATCTGTCCCAATACGGTCGAGGGTGGAATGGAGGCAACAAGAACAAGGGCCAAAAGCACAGGGCTGCGGTTGGACGTCTATACCCAGTGATTAGAATGCGACCTGTCAATCTCTACTAGTCAACAAGGATGTCGCTTTGTTGAGGAGGGGCCACGGACAGAACGGAGGCTACTCGAAACGGGACATCGACGCCGTAGGATGGCGAAGTTGCCCATCCAAATAAATGTTTCATGTTGTTCCAGTGACCACCAGGTTGCGTCAAGGTTGAGTCCAAAAGGAGGGAACGAATGGGATGATGGAGAAGGGGAGGATGAAAGAGACAGAAGACAAGGGCATGCGCCACATTTTCTCTTGGTCCTCGGTCGCTTGGGAAATATCGACTATTGATAGATTGTGATGTGTGGGAGTTGAAAGCGGGTTAATGTCGGATTGGAACTCTGCAGCACCAGGAAAGTATGATGTCAATGTCTTCAGAGCAGAACCGGTCTTTGTCCTCAAGCATAGAAGCAGTACCGACAGAGCGGTCGCTGCCCCGAGGGGATTTTGTGTGTATGACAAGGGAACCGCGTGAGAGCATCCGGTTCGACTATGGAGTTATCGCGGTGACTTCGCATCAGTCTGGATCAGATCTCTCTCCTGTGTGTGAGCTGGATTCGCCCACCATCACGGTTCTGCAATATTTTGCGACCATGATTCTAAGACGCAGGGTGGATCATCTCTGGTCCCTGAGTTTTCAGAGACTCGATGCATTTTCTTCATGATTGGCCCCCGAAGCCGATCCATACTGACTTGCAGGCACGCCCGGTGACCTGGGACCTGATCGTCTCAGAGACAGGGATTTGACGGGTTGGTCTGCTACACAGAATATGCCTGGGGGAGCAGAGATCTGGTGTAACCTGCCATGAGGCCGTCACTATTGTGCTGCGACCTTCAATGGTGGGATCATGAAGGGAATCATGGCTGTCCCCTGGCGGCACTTGGGCTGAAGGGCGTTGGATATAGGCTGTGAAGGCAATCCCAAATAGGACCAAGAGCGGTGGACTCGCAGGGGCCTGTTTCTTTCGTCTGTAATCATCACTAACATCCTCGTGTTGCCTGCAGGGCAACAGGGGGTTGTCCTTTGCGAAGCGATACGCGCAAGCTTCAGCATCACGCTAGGTTATATCGTGGCTAAGACAGCCGACGAGGGAGGAGACAAGGGCAGAAAGGCTTCAGCGGGACCGCGTGACCCCCTACAGACTGAGGCAATCCCCGGAATGAAAGCTGATCGAGGCAAAGTGAATGCATCCGCCATCTCTATCAGGCTGTCCTGCAGGCAGTGGGTACATCGTTTTCCTGTTCGAAGTCAAGAGGGGATGGATCGAAGGCTAGAGCAAGAGTCCAGGCTCAATTTTTGTAAAATACTGGCTGCTGTTTGCGGGAGGGAGGAAAGACGGCAGAGGATGGTCTCTTGAGAAGATCCATGGTTGTTTGGGGGACTTTGGTGTGAGGTTACGAGACAGTTCGACGAATCCGAGGTTACGAGACAGTTCGACGAATCCGAGGTTACGAGACATGGATTCAATAGGGTGTCGGGTCGGGCGTCGGAAACAGGAACCGCTGCAGTCCCTATGCAAGCAGTTTAGCTAGCGAAGCACGCTCTTTGCCCTTAACGGTCCTGCTAAGCGTCAGGCCCGCCTGCCCGAGTACTTAGAGTTTGGGGAGTGCTTGTACTTGTAGGCGGCTGCGCTGTCTAGGGGTCCCCCTAACAGAACCTTGGCTACCCATCTCTTGCTAATAATGTGGAGGGGCTAGAGGCTCCTAGAGACCTGCACTCGCGATCCGTCCAACCGTGACGTCTTCCACTTGGGTTTGAGCTTGGCATCAAAGACTTTGAGATGCAGAACAGCCCTTCAAGGCACTCCGTCCACTCTATCCCACACCCAGCAGGCCAGCTCGCCTACTGTTCGTCACACTGCACTACACTACAGCGCTCCTAGTTCACCCAATCCCTGTCAGTTGTCGATTCTTTCAAATCAGCGTCGATTTGGATCCTGTTTTGTTAGATGGCCCTCGTCCCGCTCGATGTTCACCATGCTACGCTACTAGATCGACTCTGCCCCCAGCCTGCTAGATGAGCCATCGGACTACTTTTCTGCATTGCTAGCTGATCACAACCTCCGTCTGACGCCCTAGTCACACAATCTTTTGAGATGCCTCGTATAGCTGACTCCCATACAGCACAATGCACCGCTGAGACATCCCTGCAACCTGGCTGCTCGAGGTGATGGATTTAGGTCAAACAAGAGAAGGACACCAGAGGAGGCTCTCAAGAGAAGGACACCAGAGGAGGCTCTCAAGAGAAGGACACCAGAGGAGGCTCTCAGCCTTGGAAGCTCACACACCCTTGAATTAGAGATTCTGTGATCGGCATTCACATGTCCATTCGCTTCCTCTGACTCTCTTGAGAATCGAGCGCCCGACTCTGACGAGGTTTGCTGATATTTCAGATCTTCAACCAACCCCTCCATCTAGGACCCTCCATCTCGGCGATTTCTCTCAAGATCGAGCTATTCCCTGCACAATCGCACGCATTTGATCATCGGAAATTGTACCATCGGCAACATTTACCTCTAGACTGCACACATTCCTGGTCTAAAATCTGCGCGCAACGAACTCGCCCACAAATTACGAACTCGGTGTGCACTATCCTGACAGTGGAAAAATCCTCATTCCTGGCTTCACTGACCTTGCAGACCCGTCGTCAAAGTCCGATCTAGAGGTGGCTTGCCTCAGAACTGCCATTCATGCACGGTACAAGATCCGAAGTGTCAGGAGGCGCACCACAAATCGTGCCCCTGCTACGATCATTGGTACCGGCAGACTGTTTGTGACTTGTCGACGCCGACCAAAATCCGAACTCAGAATGACGACCCTGCAGGCTTCGTGTTCTCTGCTGCCAATTGCGATGACAGGATCGCTTGCCAACGTCCAAGTGAGTTGCTGTCCCACCCTGGTGCCGCCCATCTGGATCTTGGATGCACAGACTTGGTGCGCGTTTGGCCCATCTAACGCCAATCTGGGCTTCATCTAGCATTACGAGTCACTGCGCTCTGGTACGGCGTGGCTGCTCGGCAACAAGTCACCTCCCTCGTCGACGACGAGCAGGGGTTCGTCTCACTTCTGGGCGACTTCAGCTTCGATGGACACGGCCTCTACACCCTGCACCTAGGTGCTCTGTTAGAAGCAGAAGCATGACTCGGCTTGATTAGCCTTAAGCCGCCACAATATATTTCTGAATGGACGCCACCCACACTGTTCGCTTAGCGGATGTACGGAGTACGTTGCAAACTTTGAGACAGCTCCGTGACAGTGACCGGCCCACTGCCCTAGATTCCTGATGCCAGCTCACTATGACCATTCACAGGTCTTATGTCATGAGGCCGGTAGCTCTCTCTGCCAGATGTGGCCAACACTCGCATCCTGGACACGGGTTGTCTTCCTCACTTGGACCACCCCGGTGCGTCATTCCACCAATCCATCATTGTGAATGTGGGGAGCTGGCCCCTTGGAAAGAAGAAACTTAAAGTCACCAGGCCGATGGGCTCGCATGCAGTCGAGCAGGGATATTACGATCGATCCCATTCCCCGAACGGCCCTGAAAGAATTACTCCAAATGGAAATTTCTGGTTTTACCAAGCTTCTTCGGCTGACGGCTCAACTAGTTCGTCGCTTGGGAAGCCACTTTTTGCATCAGTTGGTGTGCAAACTGGCAAGGCACATTCAAGCAAACAGGGCAACAGGTCTTTGCAGAAAGCCACAAAACGTTGGCTACACTAAGATGTACTCGTGACACGTCGTAAACAGCTACTCCGGTCCTCGATTAGACTCCACTTCGATATACCTGACTTCCACCATTTCTCAACCGTATCGTCTCTCTTCTTTGCAGAACATGCAATGCGCGGGCCAACGCTGCTTCACTGTATCCTCGCCCCTGAACAAATTCCCGTTTTAGAGTCGCCAGGCTTGTGCTCCAACCAATCGGCAGCCGCCTTCGAAGCTCTTCTTCCACCTTGCTCACTTCCTCCATCAACTCTCTGTTTCCGCTCATGCCACCAGCGCCTTCTCCCTGAGACACGGCGTCCATGGTGCTGGCGAGGAAGAGACGAATAGCTTCGTCAACGTGGTGTTCCTCTGCTACGGCTGACAAAGTGAGCTTCGCGAGTGACTCTGTGATTCGAATTATGGCTTCAAGTTGACGGACTGTGATAGGGATAGAAGATCGGACATTGCTGTTAGCCTCAGCTCGAGCTACTCGATTCCGAATTGAGACGAAATGCGACGAGAGCTTCTCTGCTGCCCCAGGCGACAATCTGGGGGCGCACCGGCTAGAAAAAGTTGTCAGCAGATCATTCAATTATACCATCAAGGCAACAAATTCCACTTACGACTTGCAGAAGCTGATATATCGCTTCATCTTCTCTACCGGGATTTCGACTTCGGCCTGCTCTTCGACGCCCTGGTTGCCCATATGGATGCCCATGACGTGCTTCGCGATGTTTTCATCCCGCGTTCTATCGTGGTCATCTCTTACGATGAAGATCATGTCGAAACGAGATAGAATGGTAGTCTGGAAGTCGATGTTCTCCCCCGGAGATTTTAGATCGTCGTATCGTCCGAAGATGGGATTTGCGGCTGCGAGGACGGATGTGCGGGCGTTGAGGATGGTGGTGATGCCCGCTTTCGCGATCGAAATGGTTTGCTGTTCCATTGCCTCGTGAATTGCCACTCGATCTTCGTCGCGCATCTTGTCGAATTCGTCGATACAGACCACGCCACCGTCTGCGAGGACCATGGCTCCACCTTCCAGGTAAAACTCTCGTGTTTGTGTATCTCGTTGCACGGAGGCGGTCAGACCGGCTGCCGATGAACCCTTTCCGGAGGTGTAGATTGCTATGGGCGACACCTTTTCGACAAATTTCAGCAGCTGCGACTTGGCTGTGCCCGGGTCACCCAGAAGTAGGACATTGATGTCGCCTCTCAATTTCATGCCGTCTGGGAGAATCTTCTTTGAGCCACCCATCAACAGACATGCAATGGCCTTCTTGATATCCATGTTTCCATAGATGGCTGGAGCAATGCAATGCGCAAACCGCTCGTAGAGGTCGGGTAATCTGGACATTTCCTCGAACTCTTGAACTTCCTCGTCTGAAAATGATGCCCCGGTGGCCGAGTGGTCTACGTCCGTTTGGATGCCCACTGCTCGCAAGTACGGTTGTCTCAACGCAACTGCACTATCCTTCTTCGACCCCTTGTTTTGCTGATAGATTGAAAACACCCCCATCACCGTACATCTCGACCCAGGAACGACTCGGTTCGTCAGATACCGGTCCGCAGAGACGGCAATGTGGCGGGGCAATTCACCCACTGGGACCTGGTCTGGTGCTTCCTGCAATTTTATAATCTGCTGGTCGATAAATTGTGAGGATTCATGGACCACAAAATAGGGGTCTAGAGGACACGGGTCTCCAGACTCTTGGCCGGGGACTTTTGTCCGCCCACATTGGCGAGGGAGCGTGATGCCAGAGAAGCCGCCTTCGACGTGGAGTTGCTGCGTGTGTTCGCAGCCGCGGCATTGGATCGCGACGAGGGTGGCCTTTGACGATAGCGTGGACGCTCCAATGACGATGCCTGGGATGCGGACGAGGTGCGAGACGTTCGCGGCGGTCAGGTCACGGATCGAAATGTGCGCGACACTCGAGTGGAGCAGGAGCTGATGTTGAGGGAGCTGGACCTCGCGATCGTGCGGGAACACGATGCGCTGTGTACACTGTTTCAACGCCGCTTCGAACAGCGGTATCACGTCCGCAGGCTCGCTCGTGAGCCGGTGCGCGAGCTCTTCATTGTATGAGATCAGGTGCGCCAGGTCGACATCGCAGTAATACTGCTTGACCAGGACATTTTGCCGCAGCTGGTCTCGGTAGATGTAGACGCCGTCGAGTTGAAATGCGAGGATGAAGTCCCTGAGCTTCTGCTGCAGTTCGGTGCGCGGTTCGCCCAATTGGTCATTGTGTGCAGGAAGGACAGAGAGGGAGTACGCGGAGCGAGAGTCGAGGGCCATGCTGGAGGATCGTTGTCGAGACTGTCGGTTGGTGTTGGTAAGGACAGACGACAACGAAAGCGTCGTGAATCTCACAGTTGCGCAGGAGGTGCGAGGGGGCCGTGACAAGTACGGATCGTAGACTTTGCGGTTGGACGCGTCGACGCGTTCTGGACGCTCGACGCGTTTAATTGATTTTGATCACGTGAATCCCCCGAGGAATTGCCGGCGGCGACGCCCCGGCCTCGACAGCCTGTAACAATTATGAACAATGTTTTCTCCTCCATCGGTATCATGTCTTGCTCTTTGCTCTCAGGTACAGCTTCAATCGGCCTGTGTTCGCACGCTTGACTGGCTAGATACTGGTCGGAATGTCGCCGGTTGTTCATCATAGGTAAGTCTGAAGCCGATTTATCCGTTCTGATATGCGGGGAACGGACGGTCATCAGGGCATGTATGTATATCCCCAATCCCTGTATGGAGTACGAGGTACGGTGTAGGACTCGGGTCATTGTCCGACATCGCGTCTGCTGGGTTATCATTTTCTCTCTTTCTCGTTTTCACAATCATCCACACAGCATGGAGAAATAGCCTCTTCGATCACGCCAGATCAGATGGAATAATATGGCGAGGCATGAACAGCTCGAAATCGACACTACAGGCGTGCTCCAGCGCCCGCGAACAGCAACAGACTGGGACGGGCCCAACGATCCTGACAATCCTCGAAACTTCTCTCTAGTGCGCCGGATATCGTCGACATTGGCCGTGACCTTTCTCGCATTTGTGAGCACCATAGCTGCTTCGCTCTACAGTCCGGCACACGACGACGTCTCGAGACGATTTGGTGTTTCGGAGGAGGTTGCCATCCTTCCTCTGTCGATCTACAACTTTGGCCTGGCCTTTGGACCTCCCATTGGGGCACCGTTGAGCGAGACGTTTGGTCGCAAAGCAGTCTTCTTGACTACTACCCCTATATTCGCTCTCTTCACCCTGGGGGCGGGCCTCTCCCAGGGACCTGCGTCATTGATTATTTGCAGATTCTTTGCTGGTGTCTTTGCCTCGCCAGCCATCAGCAATGCCTCCGCCACCATCGTCGACTACACAGCTGGACGTTATAGAGCTGTTTCGTTGGCATTCTACTATTCCATACCCTTTTTTGGAGCAGTATTTGGGTACGTCCATGGCCAGCTTGTGGAAATGCTGAGGCTAATCCTCATATAGGCCCCTCCTCGGAGGGCTCGTCGTCGAGGCAAGAGGCTGGCGTTGGACACAATGGGTTACACTTTTCTTCATTGTCACGTTTTACATCCCGATCGTATTCACCAAGGAAACTTACAAGAAGACCATCCTTGAACGGCGAGCAAAAAGACTCAATATTCAAGGACCGCCTCAACAACGCCGATCGATTCTTGCTGCTGTCAACTACTTCTTGACAACCTTGTTTCTCCGCCCTCTCCACATGCTCGTCACGGAACCCATCGTCACCATTGTATGCCTATACAACGGTTTTCTCTTTGGGCTGATGTACACCTTCGTCGTCGCATCGCCCTGGGTCTTCGAGCGCTACTACAACTTCTCGCTGACGGGCCAGTCGTTATCGTTTCTTGGTTTGATGGGCGGAACCGCGTTTGCTCCTTGTCCGCTGATTCTGGTCGACCTGTACATTTACCAACCACGCCTGAAACAGTTTCGCGCCGAAAACTTGGGCGCCGACGAACACTTTCCTCCAGAACACCGCCTCTATCCAAGCATGATCGCATCCTTCTTTCTTCCTATCTGCCTGTTGATATTTGCCTGGACGGCACACGCTGAAATTCATTGGGCCGTGCCGATAGTATTCCAGGGCATGTCGTTTACCGCCACCGTGATGGTGTACGCATCGATGAACTTATTCATGGTCGATGCTTATGGGCCGCTATACGGTGCCTCGGCTGCTGGCGCTGCCATGCTGTCGCGATATGGCCTGTCGGCCGCATTCCCTCTGTTTGCCCTGAAGTTCTACAAGGCACTCGGCGTGGGGTGGGCAACCTCGACTCTGGCATTTTGCACCTTGTTAATGGCACCGATGCCTTGGATGTTTTATCGGCATGGGGGTTTACTGAGGGCGAAGACGAAGTACGAAACAAGCACGTAGCGTGAAATCAACGTGTGCTGCCTCTCATCTCATTCAGCGCAATCGGGGCGAGCAAAGTGTGGGAGATGGGTGCCTCCTCTATCAACAGGGCTGCATGTTATCACCCGCGAAAATACTTGGGGTTGACGAGGATGGACATTGGTGCTCGCTCGTACGCGTACGGTCTGTCATCCGGGAAGAAGACTGAGTTATCAGACGCGGTGGGCCTTCACGATCACTGTCTCGATTTCCCAGATCAATATCTCCCCCCCACCTGTCGCTGGTCGCCTCATTGCATGGACATTGCTCAATGTCGAAACGACCGAAGCCGCCCCCTCTCCGACTTCTGCGTCCTGCTACACAAGCGAGCGAGTCGTTTTCTACAATTCTCCTTTTCCTCGGAGAGTCAGAGAGAGTAATCGACACATACGCATATATTTTTACACAGTAAGCGATGATTGACTGATGGGGAAATCTGCTCACGGTGATAGATTAGAGAATTCTTTTCCGTGCACAGCGATGGGATATACAGCGTTCTTTCTATATAGTTCCTCATCACTCCGTATCTAATTCTAGCTCATCCATCATATTACTATGAAGATTGTCCCCGAAACAGATAGCTCTCCAATATCTGAAACTTTACATATGAAACTGTGTACGTGAAATCTAGGATAAATGGGTTGAGGTTTGAAAAGCAATCACATCTCAAGGAGTGCATCCTTTCCCAACCACAACTCCTGTCTAGTCATTTGTCGGCAAGGTGGACTCGTCAAGCTTGAAAGCCCACAAGCGGCCAACAGTGTCGTCGCCGTAGAACGAATCTTCGTCTGCTGGTACATCGGCGACGCCAAAGCAGTACCACGTGGGATCTTCGTCGGCATTCTCATAGAATTCGACCAAGGTCGCCCCAGCGGCCGCTGAGTCCGTGATACATTGCTGTAGCGACGTCTCCAAAGTCCATCCTCCATGATTTCCATCTTCCCCTGGTGGATTATTGAAGCCAAAGACATTTGTCATCGAGCCCGGCCCTCCACCACTGATGCCTTCCAGCGACACATGGCATGCATCATAGAATTCATCATAAGTAGTCCCGTTCGTCAACTGGATTGAACCTGCAAGTTGTGAAGGTTCGCAGACCTCTGTAGATTGTGTGATGGCAAAACCCCAGACCTTACCGACTGTCGCATCAGGAGAGAAACTGTCGGCTTCAATGGGTAAGTCGTTGACTGCAACACAGTACCACGAATCATCTGCACCAATGTAAAACTCGAACATAGTGCCGTCTTGCGAGACTGTTTGGTCAGCACAAGATTTGACGGCGGCATCGAAGGTCCAGTCGGCATAGTCTGGGGCAGGCCATTGCACTGACACGACTCGGTTAAGGTATTGCAGTCCACCAGGTATGTTGCCTTGGAGCGACGCACTGCAGCCAGTGTAGAATTCGGAGAAGACAGTTCCATCTGTTGCGACAATGTCATCGAGCGGCGAATTCTGGCACGAATTCTCCCAGACGAAACCCCAGGCATTGATCACATTCGGGTCAGTGTAGAAGGAGGAGTCGTCCAAAGTCAGATCGTCGACGCCGACACAGAGCCAATTCTGATCCACATCGACATAAAACTCAACTGCTGTCGCAGCGTTGTCGACGGCAGTCTGAACACATCTACTGACAGCATCTTCAAATGTCCAGCCTTCATAATTTTCTGACGCTTGCCACTGGACTGCGAACTGCTTCGGAAGATATTGCAGACCGCCTGTCGTCGCTCCTTCCAATGACTCACCGCAACCTGTGTAAACGTTACGGAAAGTCTGGGTTGTATCATAAAGGGCGGTGACATCTCCGATTGCCGAAGGTGTACATGCAGGTATCGTGGTTGTTGATGTGGCCGAAGTTGTAGCCGTGCTTGAGACACTGCCGGTTGTCGTTGTCGTTGTCGTTGTTGTCGTGGATGAGCTAGAGAAGTCGATTTGAGGCCTCGCATTCGCTCCCGAAACCTTGATCGCCGTATCTGCAGTGAAATCGTACGGCTGGAAATCGATTGTCGTGTAGATAAAACCACACATATTGGTCCCTAGGTCTCGATATTCGATAGAGACAGCATTGCACGAGCCATCTTCATTGCACTTGGCAATACAGTCGGCCAAAGTTGCAACATCAGCGAAGCTGGAAAAGTACGTCCATCCGTTAACGCTCCCCTGTCCACACAGAGTTTCCCATGTGTCGCCATTCGCATCGCTGACTATTTCCCCATTTGTGCAGGTCGGTGTTGGGGTAGTTGCAGTCGTTGTTATTGTCGTTGTACCCGTGGTTATCGTCGTGGCGGAAGTCGTGACGACCGGCAATAATGAAGACGAAGATGTGATTGAACTAACTGGATCAACAATGGGTGCAGAAACTGCCTTCAACGTAACCTGGATGCAGCCCTCAGGAATCGAGCCATCAGTGGAAACAACCAGGCCGCCGTTCAGTGAGCACTCAGTCACCACTGACGAAATCGTCAAAACTCCGTTGCTACGGATCGTTGCAGTGACGGGAGGATCCGGTTGAACAGTCGCCATCACTATTTGAGTGGGCGTGGTGAACGTAAAACCGACCCAGACAGGCGTGCCGCTCACTACCACCATTAACGATTCATCATCTGCAATAACGAAGGTGCTTGCTTCGGATTGGGAGTCGACAAGACTGCTCAAGCCAGTCTGCGGACTCAGCACAAGATATTGAGTGCCTCGCTTGATCCTGCGACCCGCCACTCCCGTCTCAGCAGCGATGTAGAACGTCTCGGCTGATGTCGGAATGTCAATGATGGTGCTTGTCGTGGTGGTCGGTGTTGACGTAGCTGTCGTCGAGACGTCAACGGTTGTAGTGCTCGTCGTGGTGATTGATGTAGAAGTTGCGGTGCTGTCAATT